CAGATCGGTAAATCCTTTCTCATAAGGCAAAAAAACAATCTGCTTCTTTCTGTCCCAAAAAGCATTAGGAACATCACTGCAGATATCCTTTAGAAAACTTTGTCTTATAGACTCAATTTTCTATTGCTCAGTGGCATGTACCAATCTTTGATTAATTGTTAAGGAAGAGACTTCCTTTTGCAAATAATTCAGTTGTTTTTCTTTAAAGATAATGCTATCTTTAAGAGCATTAATATGCTTATTCACGGGTCTGGTCAAAAACTCAAATGTGATTGATTGACCCTGTAGAGTTGAGCATATGCCGTGAGAATCAATTTTCTCAATTGGCATAATCAAGGCTAAAAAAAGGGTGCCCAAAATAACCTGTTGTGCCATGTTTTTAATAAGTAAAAAGGTAGATGGTAAATAAATACCTTGTTTACAAATAAAAACATGATTAAGCTTATACTTAATCTGCATCTTACCACCACTTGCACTGGTAAGACCTTAAGTAGTTTTCTCAAAATATTAAGTCGGGACCAATCCTTTTTGAATACAATTCATGTCAGCACCACTATCAACCAAAGCAACAGCATTAGTGATAGTAAATTCCTGATTGATTACCAAATTAATGGATATATACCATTTTTGGTAAGTGACTTGATTCAAAAGATTAAGATAATCTTTATCTTTAGGCACTTCAATCTGTGAGGAAGAAGATTATGTAGCATGATTTGTCTTGTCTTTTAAAAGCTTAATTTCTAAATCCATATTGGTTTGATGGATCTTTAATTGGTGAATTTCAGCTTTTAAATTGTTAACCTCCATCCTTAAATCTGGAAGATTAGCAGGACGAGAGTTCTGGCTTTGATGTTCTAATTTGCTTAGAACTTCTTTCATGCTATAATGATTTTCAGATCTTAGAAAGTCTGGATTATCATTATCTTCTATAGATTGTGCAATCGCATAACCTGTTTCAAATATCTTCATTTTAATCTGAGGATCTTGAACTTGATCTATAAGATCCAACAATGATTGTTGATGGGCAGTTAAGACATTTAAACTGAGCCCATTCATTTCAACAATAGCCTTGTAATAGTCATTCTTCTGGTGACAAGAACATTATGGATTACTATTTTCTTCTTCAGAGGAAGATGAAGATTGTAATTCCATGAGTATGTCCTCGGAATCAGAAGATCCATTTTCAGAAGAACTAGTATTAAGCATTAATTTGCTTAATTAGAGTTTTAACTCTTCACTGATTGGAAGACTGTTAAGTTTCTCCTTAGTTCTGCACTTATTGGTATAGTGGCCTATCCGTCCACATTTGAAACACTTAGCCTCTGTCTTGGGTTTTCCTTTACCCATTGCTTTTGGATAGGTTTTCCTTTTGGGCTTAGTGTACTGTTTTGAATTATCAACCTTCTGTTGATATTTCCTTCGAGAATATTTCTTTTTATAAGGCTTGTCAACCTTATGTCTTTTCCTAACTTTAGGATAAGATAAAGGAGTCTGATAGGCAAATTGATCACAAAATTCACCTACTTCCTTTTTACTTGTTAATCTTTGTTGTTTTAACTGAGACTGCAACTTCAGATCATTATAGAGAGCTAAACCTTCTTGGATTACGATGTTGACTAATCCACCATAGGTATAGTTTCTGTAAAGGATAGAGATTCCATTGTTTATATCCCTTAATTTCTTTCTGATTCTTTCAGCAAAAAAGGTAGAAAGACCATCCACAAATTTTGCTTTCCAATGTTCATGATTGGCATCACGAAGCTGTAAGACCTTGGCTAAGAAGACATCTTTGTACCACCGGAAATGAGTTAAAGATGGACATCTGAGATTCTGTAACAACTCTCTACTTCGTTCACTGTTAGCTCCTTCTGGACCAACGAAATGTTGAATGATTGTGGTGATGAAAGTGTAAACCGCATTAGCAGCTGGGCCTTCTTGTTGAGTAATTTCATCCTTGACAATCTTGACAGCTGAAAATATCTCTGCCTTCTGGACATCAGTGAGAACATTATCCCACCATCCTTTAAGGATGCCTGTAAAACCCGCAACAATAAATTTTGCAATTGTTGGGTCAGTGTTCTGGCTAAATTTACAGACTTGACTGTACATTAACATTTGATGTACAACCTCATAAATCTGATAGTCAGATTTACCATCGATGTTCCATTCATAAATGGTTTTCCCATGGAAAGATTTCTGAGTATGAAAATAATCCTCTTCATATAAGATATCTTGAGGGGTTGGTCTAGGATAGTAATATCTACTCGGAGCAGGGGTTGTATTTGAGTGGATATTTTTGTCATAGACAATTTTGTTGAAATCAGGCATAGTTGAGATTGAAAAAGCAGCCTGAAAATCCTCAATATGAGGAGAAAATTCATTTTCAGAAACAGTGTCAGATTTAGTATGAGACAAAGTTTGGATTTTGAGTCCTTGAATTTTCTGAGTAAGGAGTTGAAGAAATTCCTCATTCTTTATCTGATGAGACAACTTGAAACCTGAAACCTCAATAGCAGGTTGAACAAGAGCCTTTGATAAGAGCTTCTGGGGAAGGTTTGACAGAGATGGTCTTAGTATTAATAATATTTAATACCATGTCTATACCTGTCCCAATTCTTCCCAATTGGGACCTTATTGTTTGCATACAGACATTGTCACGCCCCTAGACCGTAGTCCGGATTGTGAACACAACACACAAATAATCACAGTCTTAAAATCACTGAATATCCCTGTAACATATCTGAACCACACATCCACCTATCTATTTCTCTTTATAAAATCAAGACTGAAAATAAATAGATAAGATGCAAATATTAAAACTTTAAAGTTTTAAAGTCTAAAAGAAAATTTATTACATGCCAGGAAAATTCTAGGAAATATAATACAAAACATAGTCTATTATGCGGAATATAACACAACAACACCAGCCCCGACTCTGTCTATAGCTGAGGAGGAACACCCTCCACACCATCCATGCTATGACCTGAAAAGATGTGAATAAGATAGGAATGAGCAACCACAGCTCAGCAGGAATTGCCTAAAGCGCACTCCTTAATACCTCCGTGAATCCAAACAAAGAATAGACAAAGGATAATGGGATCATAAAAACTCGGGAAAGAAATAATGTCATGTAGGATAATAAAATGAAGTGCCATGCAATGCGGATGCTAATGCTAATGCCACAGACACTTCTCACTTCCCAAAAATCCAATTTCCATCACAAAAAGTTAATGTAATCCGGCCAGAGCTGCTACCTGTACCACGAAAAGAGAATTGATCATCTATCCCTGATCCAAAGCAACTCCTTGTAATCATTTGGGGCCTAGTGACACAATTATGCGTAGGCAACTCCTACGTCTTCTCTAGATTTCCATTAACTGCACAGACAAGGCAACTCCTTGTTCGGTTTTGAAATCATTGAATCAATCCCACTTTCCTAACTCACAGATACAAGGCACCTCCCTGTTATCCGGTTTTCAAAATCATTTTATTGAACTTTCACTTCCTTTTTCCATTCTAACCTTAACCCCATGACCATGCAAGATGAATGCACATTTGTGTCATATTCCGAAGTTTCTAAACAGTAAACAGTTCACATGCAGCATTTTACTTCCATCTTCGAAAATTCATAACAAATTCAATTATAAGTCAAATTGAGTGATTCCAAAGCCTAATGAAAGCTTAAACAATTTAATTTGAGAGTGTTAATTTAGTTTAACAAAATCCCTTCCCAATTGGAACAGTTTTGACCCAAAAGTTCGAACTAAAATCTGCCAGAAACTGATTTCCAGCCTGTAGCTTCCATCTTTGAAAATTCATAACAAATTCAATTCTAAGTCAAATTGAGTGAGTCCAAAGCCTAATGAAAGCTTAAACAATGTACTTTGAAAGTGTCAATTTAGTTTAACAAAATACCTTCCCAATTGGAACAGTTTTAATCCACAATTTCGAAATAAAAATCTGTCACACTGATTTCCAGCCTGTAGCTTCCATCTTCAAAAATTCATAGTAAATTCAATTTTCGTCCAAATGGAGTGAATCCAAAGGCCACTGAAAGTTAAAAGACTATATTTTTAACATAAAATTTTATTTCATCAAAATACCATACCATCTAAAGCAGGTTTGATGAACAAAACTCGGACAGAATCGGCCCCAACCCAGAATGCCCAGCAAGAACCCTCTAACTTCAAAAATTCATGGTAAATTCATTTCTCAACCAATTTATGTGAAACCAATTCTCAATGAAAGCTAATTCACTATAGTATCATAATATCAAATCATCTCTGCATGATAAATTACGAATTTATATGAATTAGAGCAAAATAGCAGCATGCAATTTCAGCCAAGCAGTTTCAGCATCAGTTTAGGTTGTTTATACACTTTGCAACTCAAATTGAAAGAGATAACTCACTAAAGGCAAAGGAATTGAGGGTTAGACAATTCTACCTCAAGGGAAGCTTGAACACTTGCTCAACAATTCAAAACCACACCAAAAATGGATCAAAATCAGCAACTAAAAGGTGAAGAACACTTTCCTTCTTTGTTTGTAACCAAAACCCTCTTCTTTTAACACCACTTTCCAAACCCAGCAACAAAAGAAATGGACTCAAGAGTCCTTTTATTTCCTACTAAATACCATTCATACCATTTGCATGATAAAAGTCAGGAATACGCTTTCACAACCAACCAAATGCCAATTATGCTATTTTGCATAGTAAAAGTCTACTTTGCCCTTGATCAAATTATCAAATACCATGTATTCCATTTGCAAAAAAAAAGTCCATAATGCCCTTTATGAAATACTAATTGACAAATATGTTATTTGCATAATATAGTCTATAAGATCTCTTAACACATAATGATGTTTAATTCACATTTGCAAAATAATCATATTTTTTACAATAAAAAAAAAAATGCATGAATGCTAAAATGTTCGAAAAAAATGATAAAAATGCAGGTCCTCACAGTCTCCCCAACATACAAGGATTTCGTCCCCGAAATCAAGTCGTAGCTGGGGAAGAAAACAAACTCGGATACGCAGAACGAACATCCTGTTCCCGTTCCCACGTAGCCTCCTCAATACCGTGATGTCGCCACAAAACCTTCACGAGAGTCACCGTTTTACCCCTTAACACTTTGTTCCGAGTGTCAAGAATCTGAATGGGTCCCTCCTCATAAGAAACATCCTCATCAATGTCAACATCAACCCAACTCAATACATGTGATGGATCCAGCTCATACTTCCGCAACATCGAAACATGAAACACATTATGGACCCTGTCCATCAGTGGTGGTAATGCCAATCTGTAAGCAACCTCGCCCACTCGGTCCAAAATCTCAAATGGCCCAATGAAACGAGGTGACAACTTGCCACTCTTTCCAAACCGTAGCAATCCTTTTCGTGGAGAAACCTTGAGAAACACGTGGTCTCCCACCTCAAAGGATAATGGCTGTTTCCGTCTATCTGCGTAACTTTTTTGTCGGCTCTGAGCAGTCAACAATCGCTGCCGAATCAACTTAATCTTTTCAGTGGTTTCCAAGACAATGTCTGACCCTAAGGCAGCTATCTCACCCACCTCAGTCCAACAAATAGGAGAACGACAAGGCCTACCATACAATGCCTCAAAATGAGCCATCTCAATGCTCAACTGATAGCTATTGTTATAGGCAAACTCAACAAAAGGTAAATGATCCTCCCAACTACCACCAAAATCAAGTACACAGGCCCGAAGCATATCTTCTAAGATCTGGATAGTACGCTCCGACTGGTCGTCCGTCTGCGGATGGAATGCCGTACTAAAATGCAACGGTGAACCAAACGCTGCATGAAGCCCTTCCCAGAACTTCGATATGAACTTGGCATCCCTGTCCGAAACAATAGACAATGGAACCCAATGCAATCTAACAATCTCTCTGACATACAATCTGCCAAGTGCCTCAACAGAATCTGTCGCCTTAACAGGCAAAAAGTGAGCGGTCTTAGTCAATCTATTAATAATGACCCAAATAGACTCATTACCCCTCGGTGACCTCGGAAGTCTTGTCACAAAATCCATAGCAATACATTCCCATTTCAACTGTGCTACTGGCAATGGTTGCAACAAACCTGCAGGTCTCTGATACTCTGCCTTTACCTGCTGACAAGTAAGACATCTGGCAACAAACTGAGCTACATCTGCCTTCATCCCATTCCATCAATACTGGCGTTTCAAATTATGATACATTTTAGTACCACCTAGATGCACAATAAAACGAGAAGTGTGAAACTCCCGTAACACATCCTCCCAACAAACCGTAAGAACCACAAGCAAACCTCTAAACCATAAACCACCATCCGTGTGTAAGGTCCAGTCCTTTACTGTGTCCCCACTTGAAATCAACTGATGAATGGCAGCTAAATCTGAGTCCTGTCTCTGTGCCTCAATCACCCATGTAACAAGAGTAGGTTGAACCACAAGACTAAACAGAAAAGCTGACTCATAACCAACACTGTCATCATAACACTGTAATCCCATCTCTGCTAGATCCTCCAACATCTTCCATTTCCGAATGGCTAACCCAGCCAAAACTCCACGAGACTTCCGGCTTAAGGCATCTGTTACCACATTCGTCTTACTCGGATGATACTGCAAATCAAAATCATAATCTTCCAAATATTCAACCCATCGCCTCTACCTGTGATTCAAGTCCTTCTGAGAGAAAAGGTACTTAAGACTTTTATGATCTGAGAACACCTCGAATCTCTCACCATACAAATAATGCCTCCAGCTTTTCAAAGCAAAAACAACTGCTGTTAACTCTAAGTCATAGGTGGGAAAGTTAAGCTCATGAATCTTTAACTGTCTAGTTCCATAAGCCACTACCTTACCACCCTGCATCAACACACAGCCCAAACCATCCCGAGAAGCATCACAAAAGACAACATAATCCAAGCCACGCTCAGGTATCACCAATACTGGAGCTGTAGTCAATCTAGTCTTCAACTCCTGAAAAGACGACCACAAGCTTCAGTCCAATCAAATCTGATCCCCTTTCGGGTCATCCGAGTCATAGGAGTAGCTAAGCGAGAAAAGTCCCTCACAAACCTGCGGTAATAACCCGCTAAGCCAAGAAAACTCTGAATCCATACACATTCTTGGGACGTTCCCAATCTAGAACTGCTTCTACCTTCGAAGGATCAACTGACACCCCATTACCCGAAACAACATGTCCCAAAAACTTCACCTCTTGCAGCCAAAATTCACACTTTGAATACTTGGCATACAAATGGTGCTCTCTCAGCATCTGTAACACTATCCTCAGATGGATCTCATGATCCTCTCGAGATCATGAATACACCAAAATGTCATCCACAAACACTACCACAAACTGGTCCAGATATCTATGAAAGACACGGTGCATCAGATCCATGAATGCCGCTGGCGCATTCGTCAAACCAAAAGGCATCACAAGGAACTCATAATGACCATACCGCGTACGAAAAGCTGTCTTTGGAATATCCTCATCCCGAACTCGTAACTAGTAGTAACCAGATCTCAGATCAATCTTGGAAAAGCAAATAGCTCCTCTCAACTGATCAAACAAATCATCAATCCGCGGTAAAGGATACTTGTTCTTGATGGTTGCATGATTCAATTTTCGATAATCAATGCACAACCTCATAGAACCATCCTTTTTTTCTTTGCAAACAACACTGGCGCGCCCCATGGTGAAACACTAGGCCGAATAAAACCCTTCAACCTCAAATCATCCAACTACTTCTTTAATTCCTCCAGCTCTGCTGGTGCCATACGATATGGAGCCATAGAAATTGGTGCAGTACCAGGCATCAAGTCAATCACAAACTCAACTTCTCTTCTATGAGGTAAATCCGGTAAGTTATCCGGAAACACATCCAAGAACTCACAAACAACTAACGGATAAACTATCCCCACATCACCATCTTCTTCAGCTAAAATGCTAGCTAAGAAGAAATCACAACAGTCCCAACCACGAACACCATAACAAGCTGAAACCAAGGAATCACCCCGATCTCCCACAAACACAAAACAATCTCCCTCCGGCGTACACACTGAAACTCTACCACTAAAGCAATCAATGGTGACATGAAACGATGATAACCAATCCATCCCAAGAATGACGTCAAACCCTATCATCTCAAGAAGGATAAGATCAAAAATCAAAGTCCGCCCAGCAATCACAATGGTGCAATCACGCACCACCCTGTTCACAACCAATGAACCACTGACTGGCGTATCAACGCACAATGCTCGATCCAGAAAACCAACCTTTAATCCCGATGCAAGTGCAAATGTGCATGAAATGAATGAATGAGATGCACCAGAATCAAACAAAATGCGAGCCCAAGATCCAAAGACTGGAAACATACCCCTCACCACTAATGGTCCCGAAGATGTCTCAGGAAGTGCATACACTCGGCCCTGGGCTATCTGAGCCTATGAACCTCCAGCCTAAACCCCGGACTGCTGACTAGTCCTTGTAGAACTACCCCTCCCAACTGGTCTCAATCCCTATGAAGATGAAGTTGGCTGTAGTGATCTAGACCCAGACTGTACTTAGCAGACTGAGATGGTCTCTGTTGTGTACCACGACCACTACCAGAACCTCTGTCTGAGCCACCAGTCCTCCTCGGACAGTCTCTAACCCTATGGCCCTGCTTCCCACATCCAAAGAAAGCTCTCGTAAAGACTGTGGACAATCAGACACATAATGACCAGGCTGCTGACATCCGAAACATATAACCTCACTCCTACCTGCTCCTGATGGTACGGAAGTAGAAGTAGTAGGTCAGCCTGACTGCTGTCCTCTAGACCTAGATGAACTCCCTCTATGCCTCTTGCTAGACTGACCCTCAGCCCCTGAACCACTGGCTCGTCTTTACTTCCACTGATCCCGAGTCTGATTTTTATCATTCAGCTCAGCTTCAACAATCAGTGCCCTTTCTACAGCCTCAGGATAAGTCTGTAGGCACTGTGCTACCACAAAAGTCCTAATCCGATGATGGAGTCCCTCTACAAACTTATAGACTTTATCTGATTCCTTACTTACAATCTCTGGAGCAAAACGAGAAAGAGAAGTGAATTTATTCTCGTAGTCTGTCACTGTCATAGAATTGTTCTGGAACAGAGAGATAAACTCTTTGTGCAGCTCTAATCTTTTAGTTGCAGGAAAGAACTTAATGTAAAATAACTCTTTGTAAGCATCCCACGACAATGTCTTCACGTCCACTCTGTTAGACACTGACTTCCACCACAATTTGGCATCCCTAGTAAAGTTGTAGGTAGCCAACAGAATCTTCACAGAATCGTTTTCAACTGCCAGAGCATCAATATGCTTTTCCACCTGGTCAAACCAATCATTTGCCAACAACGGATCAGTCCCACCCTCAAACAGTGTAGGCATGAGTCTAACAAATGTGGAGATAAGTTTGAGACGTCTTTTTGTCTCATCTTCCCCTGCAAACATCACTGGCGGTGGCAAACTTCCCTGTCCCATCGGGTGAGATGCAGGACTCTCCCCAGACCGTCCAACTGCAGGCCCACTCTTTTGGCCTCTCGGTGCCTTGTCCTTCCTACGAGGTGGCATACTACAATGAAATGCACGTCAATAACAATGTCACTATCCACAGTCCAAAACTAACTCATATGAATAAAAGTCATAAAACATATAGCATGCTTTGTCGTAATCAAATAAACACATAATCACATATTCACATAACCATGCTTACAAGACAAATACCAGATAAACATATAAGCACATAAGACAATGCAAACCCCTACACACACAGCTATAGACAAACCTCTACCCGTCGTCCCTAGGTTATAAGAACCATGCTCTGATACCATAACTGTCACGCCCCTAGACCGTAGTCCGGATTGTGAACACAACACACAAATAATCACAGTCTCAAAATCACTGAATATCCCTGTAACCTATCTGAATCACACATCCACCTATCTATTTCTCTTTATAAAATTAAGACTGAAAATAAATAGATAAGATGCAAATATTAAAACTTTAAAGTTTTAAAGTCTGAAAGAAAATTTATTACATGCCAGGAAACTTCTAGGAAATATAATACAAAACATAGTCTATTATGCGGAATATAACACAACAACACCAGCCCCGACTCTGTCTACAGCTGAGGAGGAACACCCTCCACACCATCCATGCTATGACCTGAAAAGATGTGAATAAGATAGGAATGAGCAACCACAGCTCAGTAGGAATTGCCTAAAGCGCACTCCTTAATACCTCCGTGAATCCAAACAAAGAATAGACAAAGGATAATGGGATCATAAAAACTCGGGAAAGAAATAATGTCATGTAGGATAATAAAATGAAGTGCCATGCAATGCGGATGCTAATGCTAATGCCACAGACACTTCTCACTTCCCAAAAATCCAATTTCCATCACAAAAAGTTAATGTAATCCGGCCAGAGTTGCTCCCTGTACCACGAGAAGAGAATTGATCATCTATCCCTGATCCAAGGCAACTCCTTGTAATCATTTGGGGCCTAGTGACACAATTATGCGTAGGCAACTCCTACGTCTTCTCTAGATTTCCATTAACTGCACAGGCAAGGCAACTCCTTGTCCGGTTTGAATCAATCCCACTTTCTTAACTCACGGATACAAGGCACCTCCCTGTTATCCAGTTTTCAAAATCATTTTATTGAACTTTCACTTCCTTTTTCCATTCTAACCTTAACCCCATGACCATGCAAGATGAATGCACATTTGTGTCATGTTCCAAAGTTTCTAAACAGTAAACAGTTCACATGTAGCATTTTACTTCCATCTTTGAAAATTCATAACAAATTCAATTATAAGTCAAATTGAGTGATTCCAAAGCCTAATGAAAGCTTAAACAATGTAATTTGAGGGTGTTAATTTAGTTTAATTAAATTCCTTCCCAATTGGAACAGTTTTGACCCAAAAGTTCGAACTAAAATCTGCCAGAAACTGATTTCCAGCCTGTAGCTTCCATCTTTGAAAATTCATAACAAATTCAATTCTTAGTCAAATTGAGTGAGTCCAAAGCCTAATGAAAGCTTAAAAAATGTACTTTGAAAGTGTCAATTTAGTTTAACAAAATACCTTCCCAATTGGAACAGTTTTAATCCACAATTTCGAAATAAAAATTTGTCAGACACTGATTTCCAGCCTGTAGCTTCCATCTTCAAAAATTCATAGTAAATTCAATTTTCGTCCAAATGGAGTGAATCCAAAGGCCGCTGAAAGTTAAAAGACTATATTTTTAACATAAAATTTTATTTCATCAAAATACCATACCATCTAAAGCAGGTTTGATGAACAAAACTCGGACGGAATCTGCCCCAACCCAGAATGCCCAGCAAGAACCCTCTAACTTCAAAAATTCATGGTAAATTCATTTCTCAACCAATTTATGTGAAACTAATTCTCAATGAAAGCTAATTCACTATAGTATCATAATATCAAATCATCTATGCATGATAAATAACGAATTTATATGAATTAGAGCAAAATAGCAGCATGCAATTTCAGCCAAGCAGTTTCAGCATCAGTTTAGGTTGTTTATACACTTTGCAACTCAAATTGAAAGAGATAACTCACTAAAGGCAAAGGAATTGAGGGTTAGACAATCCTACCTCAAGGGAAGCTTGAACACTTGCTCAACAATTCAAAACCACACCAAAAATGGATCAAAATCAGCAACTAGAAAGTGAAGAACACTTTCCTTTTTTGTTTGTAACCAAAACCCTCTTCTTTTAACACCACTTTCCAAACCCAGCAACAAAAGAAATGGACTCAAGAGTCCTTTTATTTCCTACTAAATACCATTCATGTCATTTGCATGATAAAAGTCAAGAATACCCTTTCACAACCAACCAAATGCCAATTATGCTATTTTGCATAGTAAAAGTCTACTTTGCCCTTGATCAAATTATCAAATACCATGTATTCCATTTGCGAAACAAAAAGTTCATGATGCCCTTTATGAAATACTAATTGACAAATATGTTATTTGCATAATATAGTCTATAATATCTCTTAACACATAATGATGTTTAATTCACATTTGCAAAATAATCATATTTTTTACAATAAAAAAAAATGCATGAATGCTAAAATGTTCGAAAAAATGATAAAAATGCAGGTCCTCACAGACATTAGTATAATTATTCTGTCGGTAAACTTTATAAATATCTTCTTTTACAATAAAGTTGGTTTCTCTATCAATATAGGAAGATGGTTGGCTATAAGCCTTAGTTTCTACTTTACAACCAGTATCCTGATCTGTGGTTTTCAAAAGGAGAGCTTCAGTAGGGGGATGGACCGAGTGACTAACTTTATCAGTTTTAGTGGTCCATGTTTTCAGAAAATCATCCAAAATATTTAAATTCATAATGGAATGATGTGTCAGACAGAACCAAGAAACAAAAGGTATAACCATTTGTTTTTCTTGAAGATATTCATAAAACTGTGTTTTATAAAACTATAATTTTTCTTTATCAAAAGTTTTAAAATACCAATTTCTAAACTCATGATATTTCTCCTGTTGAAATTCAGCATTAATGGCTTTTCGATCAGGTGTAAAATCCATTAAAACTAATATTCTTCTCTTTCTTCACTTCTGTCTTCAGCCTTTTCTCCAACACCCATCTCGAATGGTGTGGGACTGAACTCTATTCCAAATTCACGACGTGATGCATTTTTTGGTGCTGGTTCATAAACGCCTTGTGGAATTTTATTCTTTGATTGCTGGATTCCCTTCAGCTTGAGTCGATCATCCTCTGTGAATTCATCTTTGTCCTTACATATTCCTGAAACAGAGTTGTGAGAAGGAGGGTAAGAAACTTTATAAGGAACATTAAGTCCTCGAGATGATGTAGATCTAGGTAGATCTAAAGATCTTCTAAAATTAAGAAGAGCATCACCATCATGATCTTGGATAACACAGTCCAAATTCCTATTGAGAATAGGTTTTGCAGGAACTGCATTAAGAATTGTCCAATGGTCAGGGAATGTTATTTCACTCTAAGGAATCATCCTTTTTGTGGCAACATTCGAAGTGAACATGTTTGTATCCCATATCGCTGTTACTCCTTTAGAGTCTTTGCGAATGACTTTCGGACAGTAGGTATCAAGTACCTTATAATGGATGCGATAAATTACACTTATCACCTCCGATCCAGGTAAGAAATTATATCCATGAGTCTGTACACAAAGACTAGCTGCTTCGTATATGTTTCTATCCGTCAAAAATAGATTCAAACTAAGATATATATCAAAGTAAACCGGTTCATGACATAGACTGGTTTCTAGTGCACCCATCAAAGAAGGGTGAAAATCTAAACACCTAGCATCCCTAAGTGTTGCTTGAATACAAGCATCCATACCAAGTAAGGTTAAAGGTTTAAAAGCAATTTGAATTATACCTATATAGATATAATTGTACTTTTTCATGTATCTCTGAAGATCTCGTGGAGACAATAACTTAATTATTGTGTCCTGATTACTCAATTGCATTGTCTGCTCCATGGTTTTAACTGCCCACAGATTAGCGAGATCGAGCATCCCGATTTTGTAAATGCTGATTGCATGTACGGGTGGAATAGTCCACTTGTTCAATTTATTCTGAACATCAGTAAATTCAATTAACTCTGAATTCTTGATAAATTCAGAATCCTGTGAATCCTGTTATGCCATACTGGAAGATGGGTTTAACATGAATGTTAAATATTGTTAATGCTTAAGATCTGTCTAGAATAATCATTATAAAATTATGTAATGAACAGTAAGTTACTATTCTGTCGTAGTGCTGCTTAAGAGAAGCCATATTACTCGTCTGTCAACGATTTACTGGAAACAACGACCTTTGGAGCATTTTAATGAAAACGCGGTCTAATCTTCCAACGCGACTTTTGGACAACCCATAATAGAATTTACTTATAAGTAGGATTTAAACAGATTAGTAGTCTCCATATTCGTTACATAATTATCATAAGAATCATCCTACCAGAAACTTAAAAGCATTAATAATATAAGTTTAAGCCAATATAAACAGCGTTGGGTGTGGTGCATTCAAATAAATAAATAAATAATTAATAGGTACACACTGAAAAGTAAAGTACTTAGGGCCTGTTTGTTATGTATTTTACTTTGGTGTTTTTGTTACAGGGCTCCATTTCAGGCCCAAAAACATGTTTGGTAGCCCTTGTTATGTTTTAAACAGTACAAAAATATTGTTTTAAACAGTGCACAATTTTGGCCCAAAACTGAAACACCATTTCGGTGTTTTTTGTTGTTTCTGAACTGTAGCCCAATAAAAAGAACTGTAGCGCTTGAAGTAAGTTGGGTCTTGAACTGTAGCGGAGGAAGTAACTTTAAAACGTCGTCTGTAACATTTTGGCCCGATCTTTTCTCTCTCCTCTGAAACCTAGAGAAGCGATTTGGGAGACGATTTGGGAGGCGAAAGGGAATCTGAAACCCTAGAGAAGACGATTTAGGAGGCAACCAAAGGAATCGCAAGCATGAAGTCGTTAACAAGCACAAAATCGAAAGCACGAATTGCGGTGAGTACTCTCTCTTCTATTTCTCTCCTCTTTAAAGACTGTGTCTTCGATTTAGTTGTGAAACAAGAAAACTGTGCTTCTCATGTACTCCATAAGAACTATATTCAATGATTTTCCCTAGCTCGTCTTATCTTTAGAAGTTGGCCTAAAGCCCTAAATTTTTCACTGCCTTCCTAGATCTAGATCTTCAGTGATTTTCTTTTTTTCTTTTTATTTAATTTTTTTTTTTTTTTTTTTTTTGCATTCTGTTCAGATCTTCCTTTGATTAGATGTAAGAATATGTCTATATTTATATATATATATATATATATATATATTAATGTATATATACACGCACTTACAAAATTCAACTCTCAGTGCTATATACAAGGTGGACTACTAACAAGTAATAAAGATCCAGAAACAGTTCTATTGAGGACCCCAAAACTGATAAATTAATAAATTAGAACAAAATACAATATAAGAGTAGGCCACTTACAGAGGAAAATGTTGAAGAAATATGTAGAGCTTTGGAAAATGATTCTTGGTTTTGTAAGTTTAAAGAAAATGAAAGGATCAGAGAGCTTATTTCATCTAATTAATAAAGGGAATGGCAATATACAATTTTACATATACATTAATCTGCAGTCTCATAAAAACTGAACTTAAATTGCACTAAAACTTTAAAAATGGTTGTAACGAATACAGGAATTGCAGTGGTCGGTTCTCAATTTCTCATAAAGAAAAGGTAATGTGAATATTGAACACTGTAATATTTTTGCAATTCACATTTTATTATTTTGAACTTTTTCATTTTTTCTTCTAATGGTCATAACAATTTATGGATGCAAATTAGAAAATATTCTTATGATTTTCTTTAGTCATTCCAACAATTTTAGAGAGAAAAAAAATTCCAACAATTTTAGGTACATCAATACCATATCTCTCTATACTACTATATAAAATGTCAATAGAAATTTTATTTCTTATGTTTTAACTAATATAATATATACTAATTATTGGTAATATATATACTAATTAGTTTGTAACATTTTTTAATATAATTAAAGGCTGTTAGTCTATCTAAATTCCTAGTCATTATAAACTTATTTAATGAATAATGAATGAAAGATTTTTCACTCTACAAAGTGTATCCATCTGCATACATATTTTTTATGCACATTAATTTGTATGATAATTAATCAAATATTTCATTTTTAATGAGAATAAATCACGTAATTACTTTATATGAATTCTCTTCTCTAATTTTTTTGCACACATATATAGATGAGTTATGCATATTTATAGTGTAATTAACTATTATTTTTTCATTTAGGTGTATTTGTGCTGTTGAATTTTTCTTATAATTTTTTAAAGATGGTCTTAATTTATCTAATTAAGAGAATTTTTAAATTCACTGTAGTATTTTATGAGACCAGTAATTGATTTTCTTCTTCCTTTTTCAATGTTTTTTGTTCGTGTTGGAAGCTGAAATATGTTGAATATATAATTTTCTCTAAGCAAATGGTAATATGTTATTTGGTGTGTTATAATTGAATTTCATTTCATTTATAACACATTTACATTTCATTTACAGAATTTTGCTATATTTCTGTCTTTGAAGTTTCCTATAATATTTTTGGGGTTTTAGTTTATCTAATTAGAGAACTTTTTGAATCACTTTTTTTTTTGTTTTTTTCTTCCTTTTCCTCTTTTAATCATTCTAGTTTTGATGGAAATCTTATTGGTGAATTTGTTTGTTTGTGTTTGGATAACTAGTTTGCTGCATAAAGATTGAATGCTGCATAAAGATTGATTTGTGCTAATTTTGCTCTATAATTTCTATTTGGGGGGTTCATATGGTGTGTGGATTTTTTTTTTTTTTTTAATTATGAATGGTATTGGGCCAAAATACTTTCACAACTTCTCTCTAATTGTGGTTTTCGCCAAAATACTTTCACAACTTCTCTCTAATTGTGGTTTTCGCCAAAATACTTTCACAACTTCTCTCTAATTGTGGTTTTCTTTATTTCCAATATACAATAAATAGATGCAGCATATTAATACCTTATTAAACTTTCTGCCTAATTTCTCACTTGTCATAAAGTAATTTTATGTGGGTAATGAAATCAACCTAAATCACAACTATGTGACACTCTGTGGGTGCCAATTGTGTGAGGAAGAATTCATTTACCAATTTGGGAAGAGAGAATTCATGACTTTGATATCATTTTTTATGATTGATTGCAAGATGGTCTTGTTATAGTCACCTTTTGTCTTTGGTTCAAATTCAAGATCAATGGTTAACTTTAAAGATGACAATGGTTAGCTTTGTAATTGTTTAAGAACTTAAGTATTTATCGAAAATTTGAATACTAGATGATATATGCGTGTTTATTGAATTGCATGTAGAATATTGAATAATTTTTTTTTGTTATTTCAGGTTCAGAATCGTTTGGGTTTGAAGAGGTTGATTTTGTAAAATTTTTAAAGCTAAATACTCAAAACTTGATGTGTACATAACATACAGTATGTATAGTATATATAGTATAATAAATTATTGTATTATTTTCTTTAATTTTATCTTCCATGTTGTACACTTGTACACCCTTACTATGAAAAATAGAAATTAGTTTAAAAAAAACACTTATAAGAATAGTGATTTATATTCATCTAATCTTTTTGTTCAGGAGTATGTGTTATTTTAACTAAGTGGGTTATCTAGATAAGGTTTGGCTTGGAGAACTGTTTCGATTCCTATTGTTATGCACCTGTTATTTTTTAATTTTTAAGCATAAATTACACTCATTTTCATCTTTTTATTTCTGTGTAGTTAGATTGTATCTATTGCTTAGTGTCATGATATAATCCTGTTTAGTTTACCACTAATGTTTTGTGTTGTTCTTGATTACCCATAGTTGAAATTGTGTTTCTTTTTTTTTTTATATTTTGATTCAGTATTCTTTATTAAATGTGTGAACTTCTCCAGCACTTATGCCATATTAATTATATGTACGTTTCCTAGGAACTAAGTAAAACCTAAAATCATAAGCTCTTTCTAGCAAATGTATAAAAGAGGAATAAACATATTCTAATAGTATAAACATTCATGAATCAGTAGTTGTGATAGAGTAACTTTAATACCATCAATAGTTTTTCCTAGTTTAATATTTTTTTTTTTTTTGTTATTAATTATAGTGTTGTTATTAATATGTTAGATGAATATGAATGTTAAGAATGTGGAACAATGCGGTGATTCTCTCACAGTTGAAGAAGTGGTTGAAGTTACGAACGATGGAAAATTGTTATGGGATGAGTCACTCATTGAAAAATTTGTGAATATTATGGTGGAAGAAGTTAAGGCTAATAATCGTAGTGGCACAACATTGAGTAAAAGTGGTTGGAGTAATTTAGTCAAACAAATGAATGTTCAAACGGGGAGAAAATTTGGTTTAACCCAACTTCGGAATAAGTTTAATGGTTTGAGGAAAATTTATACTGAGTTTAAGAAATTATTATCGGAGATTGGCGTGGGATATAACAATGAGACGGGCATGGTTATAGTTGAGGAAGAGAGATGGGACAGGTTGTGCAAGGTTAGTAATTTAATTATTAGTCATAAATAAATAATAAAATCTTGTATATTATTGGTTATGTGGTTAATATTGTAACAAAATTTGTAGGTTGTTACGAATGCAAATAAGTATAAAAAGTATGGATGTAAGCATTTTGACAAGTTGTCGACTATATTTGGGGACACATATGCAAGAGGGATGCATGCCCACCCATCCACTACAACACCACCCACAATCATTTTGCTCACTCCCAATGATGACGATGATGAGGAAGAGGGTTATGAGGTCAGTCCCCCACTTTTACGTAAGGGTAAGAAAGCCAAAAGAGATGCTTTATCTCCTGGTATAGCTGCATTCTTGTCAAACATGAATGAGAATTCTGAGAGGAGAGCTGAGAGAATGGAAGCTGCAATAGAGAAAGCAGCTAAAGCATCTTCTACTTCTACTCGTGTATCTTCATGTGAGAAAGGAGATGATGAAGTTCTCTCTCCCTCAAAAAAGGATAGAGATTATGAAATGTTTGACGCCTCCATGCTCCTTTTACAAAAAATACCTGGAATTGAGATGGCCCAATTCGCTAAGGTATCGAAGTTATTACATGATTCTGAGAAGTGGCAGAAATTTTTTCTTTCGGCACCTGAGGATGTAAGAATTGGTTGGGCACTGAATGTTTGAGTTTTTCTTTATGGATGATTGTGTTTTGTGTCATCGTTTAACTTATTACTATCTCACATTTGGATGACTGTAATAACTTAAATACTTTTATTATCTCACATTTGGATGACTGTAATAACTTAAACATTTTTATTATCTCACATCTGGATAACTGTAATAACTTAAATACTTTTATTATCTCACATTTGGATTACTGTAATAACTTAAATATTTTTATTATCTCACATCTGGATTGTTGTAATAACTTAAATACTTTTATTATCTCACATTTGGAAGGCTATAATAACTTAAATACTTTTATTTCTTGGATGCCTATTAGTACTCAAATACTTTAATACCATTATTTAAATGTTTGTTTTATTATTTAAATGTTTTGTTTATTATTTAATTGATTTGCTTATTAACTTAAATGATTTGCTTGTATTAAATCTTTAAATAGGGCAATGGATGTGTGGAACAATATAAGAAGAATAATTCAATTATCTGACGATGAGGAGGATAATGAGAGTGTCTTAATATTTGCTGCTCTTTTAGAAGATCAGAACTTCTATCAAAAGAGGCGTTGTAGGGATTCCATTTTACAAGGGGAAACATATGTTATGGAGATTTTAAACGGCCATAGAGAAAGATGTTATGAAAATTTTAGGATGTACCCTGAAGTTTTTAGAATATTGTGTAGTACCCTGAAAGGTATAGGGCTAAAGGATTCTAAATTTTTAACTGTTTATGAACAAGTGGCAATCTTTTTGCTCACTTTATCTCATAATCAAAGGAATCGTGTTATAGCAGAGAGATTTCAACACTCCACTGAAACCATTTCTAGACACTTCCATGTTGTGTTGCATGCAGTATGTCAGTTGGGCACCTATATCATTACCCCTCCTAATTTTTCTGTGATTCCGAATAAGATTAGAGAGTCTTCTAGGTTTTAACCTTACTTCAGGCATTGTGTGGGAGCTATAGATGGAACCCACATTCCTGCAACTCTGCCAGCAAGTACACAACTTCCATTTCGTGGTAGAAAGGGTTATACCACACAAAATGTAATGGCTGTATGTGACTTTGACATGAGGTTCACATATGTGCTAGCTGGGTGGGAAGGCTCAGCTAATGATTCGAGAATCCTAAATGAGTGTACTGAAAATGAGGCAATGAACTTTCCAACTCCACCAGCAGGTAATATTTTTTTATAAATTCACTTAATATATGGTTAGTTTATCATACTGTATATATCTTTATGTATTCTAAACATGGCAGGTAAGTATTATTTGGTGGACTCAGGGTATACCAATAAGCTTGATTATTTGGCCCCATTTCGAGGTCATACTTACCACTTTCAGGAATACCGTAGGACTAGACAACCTCGTGGTCGGGAGGAAGTGTTCAATCATAGGCATTCATCTTTGAGAAATATAGTTGAGCGATGCTTTGGGTTATTGAAGATGAGATTCGCTATTTTGAGGGCAATGCCTCCTTATAAGTTTTCAACACAAGTATTGATTGTAATGGCTTGTTACACATTACATAATTTTATCAAAAATCAGCATCAGCCTGATGACATATTTGATGGTAATGATCCTCCTCAAAGTGATAGTGAAGATGATGAGATTGTTGAGCATGTGCCTTCGGCTCAGCTTCGAGAAATGGATCAATTGCGTAATACTATTGCTGATCAGATTTGGAATTCTCTTCTGCACTCTTGATCCTTCTGAATGTGATAGTATATTTTTTCTTTTATATGTAATATATTTGTTGCTATTGTGAGCTTGCAATATATATATGTAATATAAATATTTTTTGCAGATATATAATTCAACTTAAATGCTATTATTGCAGATATGAAGTGTGTTAATGCTCTCTTGAAGGCCACATGTGCTGTTATGAAGATGATGTGTCGTTGCCATTGTTATCCACTTTATGAACTTCTTATTAATTTTTAGTGACAACTACGTATTGTTAATGCTTTGTTCCAAACATTTTATGTACAACTTAAACGTGTTTAATTTGTTGGTTGAATATTTCAGGACTTGTAAATGTTATACACTCTATTTCAATTATGCTTTCAATTGAGTTTGTTTTTATTTTAATGCTGTGTTGGACTATACAGGTATCAGAATAATAAAATTGAAGCAGGTTATTGCAAAGAACTTGTAAATAGGTTATTGCAAATTTTTTTTACAAATGTTGACTCTCATGTAGTATAATAAAATGTGATTAGAGATTATTTATTTTTAATATTGAGTTGGACTATACAGGTATAATGATAATAAAATTGAAGCAGGTTATTGTAAAGAACTTGTAAATAGGTTATTGCAAATTTTTTTACAAATGTTGACTCTCATGTAGTATAGTAAAATGTGACTAAAGATTATTTATTTTTAATATTGAATTGGACTATACAAGTATAATGATAATAAATTTGAAGTAGGTTATTGCAAATAACTTGTAAATAGGTTATTGCAAAAATTAATATATATATATAATTTGGTGGGGGTTTACATTTTTTTACAAAAGAGAATGCAAGAATCTGTATTTTGGAGTTAAATTCCCACCAGTGCAGACTTATAAGAGTCGAAAATTATTATCAGAGCTGTGTAGTATTTTTTTTTCTTCTTTCGCTAATGCGAAAAATGAGCAAAATGAATGAAATACAAACCTATGGACAATCATCACCAAAGGAACAAACTATACCAAGAAATTTCAAATAATTTGAAGTGTAGTTTCAGATCAAGATAACATGCAAAATGGTTGAAATTATTGGTTCAATTATTAGAACTAACATTCTACATTTTCGCTAAAGCAGTTGCTTCCTGTAATTACACTTTGGTTATATATATATATATGTGTGTTTGTGTGTTCAAATTTCAATAAATTTATTAAAAATATATAGACTATTTATATAGAAATAAATTTATAAATAAATTTAAAATTTATAAAAATAAATTAAAAATAATGATAACCAAACATATTTTTTATTTCTGTTTTATTTTGTTTACAACAGTTGGAGTTACCAAACATGTTTTGTTTTTAAAATTCTTGAAACGCATGACTTACCAAACGTGTTTTACATATTTTTGTTTCCGACATTTCTACAGCAAAACATCGTTCTCAAATATGCTTCCGATTTTTGCCAAAATACTGTAATAGTAAAAACGCTATTTCTATTTAAGCCAAAAACAAAACACCTAAAGTAAAACGCATGTCAAACGGGCCTTATATTGCGAGTATAGTGGCGAGTATTCTGATTCCTAAAAAGGGGATTTAGTGCCTTGTTTGCACAACTAGTTTCAAATTTTCTTGGATCCGTTATATAACTGCCGTATGGTAGAGATACCACTCCTAGTCCATACCACTAAGTGGTCAACTGTAGTCAACAAAAAAGAAAAAGTATCTACCAAACCAACCCAAAATCAATCATGTCCATCTCAGCCTCAACTCACAGCCTTATCTCCTTGGTCCTCCTTGTCGCCGCCGTCTCCACCGTCTGCGCTACCGACCACATCGTTGGAGCCAACCGCGGTTGGAACCCCGGTATCAACTACACACTCTGGGCCAACAATCACACCTTCTATGTCGGCGACCTCATCTGTAAGTACTATATATATATATATATATATATATCGACATTCACCTCCCTCTCTCTCTAGATCTATCACACACTCTCCCTCTTTTGTTGTTGCAGCATTTAGGTACCAGAAGTTTCAGTATAATGTGTTCGAGGTGAACCAAACAGGCTACGACAACTGCACAATCGAAGGTGCTGTGGGTAATTGGAGCAGTGGAAAAGACTTTATTCTCCTCGACAAGGCGCAGCGCTACTACTTCATCTGCGGCACGGGCGGGTGCTATAGCGGGATGAAGGTTTCCGTTCTCGTTCATCCTCTTCCGCCGCCGCCTTCCGCCTCCGTTGCGGCGGAGAACAACTCATCGAGTTCCGCTGATCCGGCCGTGGTTTTAAGCGGTGGGGCGCCGTTGGTTGCTAGGGTTCTGATGGTTGTGTTGGCATCGATCTGGATCGGATCTAGCTGCTAAGATCTGTCGATCTAGTTGTGCTCTGTTTTCATTTGTAGTTCTCCGAGCATCAGTCAAGTGTGCTACTTGGTGGATAACATCAATTTTTCAAATTTTTTTTTTTTCTTCGGTCAGATCTTTTATTCAAATTTAATTTGGTGTTTTTTTATTTGTTAAGAGCAATGGAGTGGCTAAGCATTGTTGTCCCTGTTTAAATTACAAACATGCTTGCTTTTTTAATGGTGAATAGTCCTTGTTAACCTTTTAATGTTGGGCAAATTACACAAACGATCCCTCACATTACTTGTATACTCTATAGATATATAGATAGAAGATGTTCAATATACCAAAAAAACTCAAATTAACTAGTTAGTAAAAAACTCAAATTAACTAGTTAGTGAATTAATATGAATTGACAATTTTGTCTTAGAGTTAAATTATTTATTTAATAAAAAAATCTAAAAAAAAATTGTCTATTGTTAAAATTACAATTTTGCCCTTAAGATTACTTCACTTTTTTCATGTTTTTAATAACACCAATGTCTGTTTATTTCTCAAATTCTTGCAAATTGGCCCAACATGTCTGAAATTATAGAAAAAGTTGCTAAATTGACCTAAATTGACAACAAAACCTTACACCGCCGCAGCGCCACAACCACACCACACCATACCACAATACCACACTGACGTCGCCACCACCACTATCCCCAAATGCACAATTAGCAAATAACCACCAGGCCTCCACCGCGCCACTATCCCATCGTTGTAACTGCCATCACCATTCCACCCTTACAACCACCGCGGTGCCACTACTTGTGACGGCCCAAGTCTCTACAACCCGGTGTGTCAGTGATGACCATAAGTTGATACGATAATGGATCCGAAATACAGAAGCAAAAGATAAAACAAAGGTATCTAGAGATATAAATCATTCCTAAGACTCCAAAGTGACCTTCTATAAAGTCACGAAATATAAGGAGAACGAAAGAGAAAATGAGAGTCAAAACGGGTAAGATCCGTTTATCAAGGGTAAAATGGTCAATTTACAAATAAAAAAAAAAAAAAGATACTTAACTCTAAACAAGTCAAATTAGGTAAATACAATCTAATCTAATCATTTTACAACATTTCAAGAGGTTCTAAAAACTTTGGTCAAGAATCCCACAAAACACCCATTCCCGGTTGAAGCAAAAATTGACACTATCTCACTAAAACATGAATACCTCCCATTGTGATTTGAATCTGAGAATGGCATTGGTACCATTGGAAAGCTGACTTAAAATTCTTGAGTTTAGGCTCAAGAATCACCCCATTTGGATTAGAAATGAAGGAGATAGACCATTTGAAGTTGGAACAACTATGCTGATACATAATCTGAAAGGCTGGTGTGCATGAGTCATTTAGGTTGACCGAAATGGGCAGAAACTCACCAAAAAACTGAACTTTGAAGATAAGTCATTTCGGTAGACCGAAATAATGCATTGGTCGACCGAAATGAACCCCAAACAGTGTTTTAAGCTACTGGAAGTGGGTTTTTACTGTTCAATTGATTTCAAAAAGGCGCCGATCGACCGAAATGGTGTTTCGGTCGACCGAAACACCTCGAATCCTACTGAAAACTCTACTAAACATGTGAGATTTGCAATAGGACTTATAGGATTCATTTTACCCCCATGCATAGGTCAAAAACTAAATTTTTTTAAAGAAGATTGAGCATGTGAACATGTCAACAAGTATAATATGAATATTTGAATGTAATACAATGGCTCACGGCCTTATATATATCAATTACAAGAATCTCATACGCCAAACCTCCAAAGTTGGTTAAAATACATTTTTAAAGCAAAATATAGTACCAAATGAGTACAAGTGCTAAATTAAACATGTTTGGCTCTTGGCCTCATTACACACATCTAAAGAGTATAAAAAGGTGCACTTAAGCGCACAATACATAGTTTGAACAATAAATACATGTCTTGATATTATAACCCAAAAAGGAGCATGATATGCTAACAAGTGCATACTCAATATCACAAAAAAAAAAAACCTCCAAGTAATCAAGCATGCCTAAAAGTTTTGTACATCCCACAACAAAGCTTCTTTCCCTGAAAAATAACCAGGTAACTTTGGGGTGAGTAAACAAGTTTACTTGTAGGGAATGAGCATGCATAAAACCTAAATTTTATACAACTTGCAATTTGATATAAACAATTCATAATGTTTAACCGACATTGGAACTTCCAACACAATGCAATAAGATGAAATCTCACAAAGTTATCAACTTGGAAATTTAAAGTGCGAAATCAAACCAAAGTAGATACTTAGATGTTACCCGGATTAAAACTGTACTCTTAGGATCACTTTAGGGTTATTAACCCATGGGTACCTTCGCCTAGTACGCACTATAGTGTAGGGTGCTCTCTATCTCCTATACTAGAACCAAGTCCTAGCCAATTCAAGTTCTTGATGATATCCCAAGTTTCCAAAATCATCAAGTTGAGTAACAAGTCATGATATGTGATAAAAACACAATAAAAGCTCTATGAATTTCATGACTAAATCATTAGATCAATAAAATAGAAATTAAGTAGACTAACTAATTAATTTCTCTAGATTTCAAGAGTTGTTCAAATGATTCCAATTTAACATATAACAAGGAGTAAGTCATGACCATGCCATATATCAAGTCTAAAATTGAATACAAGCATGGTACAATTAAATAGAATTTAAATCAATTTAAATTACTTATATCTTTAGATTTAAAAGCTCATTTAAATCATGCCAAATTGATATACAACAAGGTTTAAGTCATGGCCATGCTATATACCAAGTCTAAAATGAGTTATATGCAAGCTACAATTAATCATTAATTTCTCAAATTGATATAAGACATGCATACAACTTATACATCAATATAAAGGCAATTGATTCACTTATATTATAAACTAGAACACCCCTACCTCAATAGAGAATTGAATCTCTATAATCCAAGGCAACCAAGCTTAAAAATGGAAAACCAAATAAAGGTTTTACAAAAGAGAGTAAGAGGGAACTAAAGTATTCCAAGCTTAAAGGTCTAAGGTGAGTGGAATGAGGTCAAAAATGAAGTCAAAAGCCTTGAATCAAGCTTTGCTCCAATGGTGGCTAAGTTAGGATTTGAGAGGAAAGAGATGAAATGAAAATAGGGTGTAAACCCTAAGCTAAATGTGATGGAACCCGCCACTCACTATGTGCTCTTACACTACCTCACACACACACAATGCAAGACCAATTGTGAAGCCTACACTTGTCATTAATCTAAGTCTCCTTCCTAGGCTTAATCTTAATCCTACACTTGTCAACTATCCAAGCCAACAAGTGCTCCAATCTTAGGCCAACAAATGGGTGAATCCTCACCCTCCATGTGTCAAGAGATAAAGCTTCCAAGTAGTTCCACCACAATGACAATAAGCGGCACCATAAGAGTGTGACATTTGTCACATTTTTGGGAAATTGCAAAAAGGTCATTTTTCAAAATATCTTTCAAATTAAATTACAAAATGGTCCCTAAGACAAAAAATAATTACTTTTCATAATTACACAAAACCCCAAAAGTCAAGAATATTTCCAATAAACTACGCATCCATACCCTTTACACAAAAAGTAAACATCTAGCATACTTTTCTACAAAAGTAAAAAATGTAGATATCACGGAAATCAAATATCGTGGATGTATGCAACGCCGGAATCAAATCCGAGCACAAAAAGTGAGGATATGCAAGGAAAAAATAATAAATGAGAAAAGGACAAAATAGGGAAAAAGACAAAAAAAGAAATTACCAAAAAAAAAAGAAAAGGAGGAAAATGACCGGGTCATTACAATCTACCCTTTTTGAAAGGGATTTCGACCTCGATATCATGTCGTACCTGAAGGAGAGAACAAATGGGGAACTAGGAGCAAACCTCCTGCTCGGGTTCCCAAGTAGCCTCCTCAACGCCGTGGTGTCTCCACAAAACCTTGACCAATGGAATGGTCTTAGTCTGCAAGACCTGTTCCCGTGAATCAAGAATATAGACTGGATCTTCCTCGTAGGTCACATCCCCATCAACAACCACATCGGTCCGCCGCAAAACATGCGATGGGTCCGGTTTGTACTTCCTCAGCATAGAAATATGAAAGACGTTGTGAACCCTATCCAGGTCTGGCGGCAATGCTAAATGATAAGCAACTTCACCGATGCGCTCCAAAATCTCAAATGGTCCGATAAACCTAAGAGACAACTTGCCCGTCTGTCAAAATCTCAGAAGTCCCTTTCGTGGAGAAATCTTGAGAAAGACATGGTCCCCTATCTCAAAAGACAAGGATTGTCTTCTCTTGTTAGCGTAACTCTTCTGTCTGCTCTATGTGGTAGCCAACCGCTGTCGAATCAACTTGATTTTCTCTATAGTCTCAATGACATTGTCGGGACCCAAAGCAAAGGTATCACCTACCTCAGCCCAACAAACTAGAGATCTACAAGGCTTGCCACATAACGCCTCAAAAGGTGCCATTCCAATACTAGTCTGGTAACTGTTATTATAGGAAAACTCAGCTAAAGGTAAGTAGTCCTCCCAACTGAAATCTAAGATACAAGCCCTTAACATATCTTCCAATATTTGAATGGTGTGCTCCGACTGACCATTAATCTAAGGATGGAATGCCATGCTAAAATGAAGTCCCGTATCAAGAGACTCCTGAAAACTCTGCCAAAAGTGAGATGTGAACCTGGGATCCCTATCCGAAACAATAGATACTAGAACCCCATAAAGCCTGACGATCTGCCTCACATACAGTCCACTCAGTCTCTCTACACTATCTGTCACTGCCATGGGCAAGAAGTGAGCCATCTTAGTCAACCTGTCAACTATGACCCATACGGCATCATTGCTTGCCTGAGACCTCAGAAGTCCCGTTACGAAATCTATAGTGATATACTCTCATTTCCACTCAGCTACTGGTAATGGTTGCAACAATCCTGCCGGTCGTTGATGTTCTGCCTTCACTTGTTGACAAATAAGGCATCGAGCTACAAACTATGAGACATCCCATTTCATGCCCTGCCACCAAAACTGTCACCGCAAATTGTGATACATCTTCGTACCACCAGGATGAACTGCGAGCCGAGAGTGGTGAAAATCCCAAAAAACGTCTTCACGACAAGATAAAGGAACAAAAATCATCCCCTTGTACCTGAGACCACCGTCTGAATGTAAGGTCCAAC